GTTGGCAACGGCTCGCCTACGTGAATTGCTCCACATTGACAACGGAACTGAATTCCGACCTCGGCAACCTCGCCCGGGTTGAGAAGGGGAAACACCACAGACTCGAGCCGGACGTACGTCCACCCCCCTACCGGCACACTAGCTCCGCAACGGCGACATTTAGTTTTACTGTGAACATCCGACACCAACGCCACGGAATCCAAGTAAAACTTCGTGAGGTTCACGGATCCCTTCGTGGCCACCAAGCCGTATGACCGTAGGTCCGTCCCGCCACTACTAGGAGCACGATCTACGAGGGCGAAGGCAACAATCGTCGTGAAAACGTGGGAAGTTAGGAAAGGACACGACGCGAGGCGGGCATGATTTACGCACGACGCATCAAATGTACGCGCCGTCTGCGAGAGGTCGAGCAAAAACATTCTTAAAATTTGGTACAATCCGACGACACGCCCACACAACCCATGTCGGAACTTACAAAAGAAGTCCATTCGGCTCCGCGCTCATGGCATGAGCCAGCAAGCGTGTCGAAAGCGTGAGGTACATCGGTCCAATTCCCACCAGACACCATGCTATCCTGCCTTGAAACTCCCTCGGGATGATGCTGTGGGCTCGCAGGATTGGCTTTGCGAGATTCAAGATCATGTTGATTTCCTCCGAATCCTCATGGATCGCTTCAGCGAGATCTTCCGGCCACAAGAAGTGGCTGAAGGTTTCGGCCCAAATCATGCGATGCCACACCGGTTTGGACGCCAGTTCGTCAAACCTGGAGGATGAGGAACGGGGACAAAGGGTCGTTACTTTCCTTCCGCACCATGGATGTTTCAATCACAAGCGAAGGAGGGCCGCATCCTACATGCAACACGCGAACCTCAGCACGTACTTCGACGTTTTAGTGGCTCCTCGTGCGAAACGGATAAGTGTATGGCTAACCCTAACCCTGCGTCTACTGATTCAATGACCTCTGAGCTTCCCGTTCTTCAGACGACTCTCCCTCCCCGGTCGCCCCGGCTCCCTCCTGGGGCGGTGTGCTGGACTCGTCGACGCCCTCCATGACACCGCGCACAGCTGCGAGGGGAAGCCCCTCTTCTTCATCGTCGGAGGCTGCATCCTCTTCTGGTGTATCCTCACCGGGGTCGCCGCGTTTCTTGGGTTGTACCACACCCTCGTCCTCGGAGGAGCAACTGGACCGGTGTTCCTCTGGCGCGTCAGACACCTCACCCACCGCCCCCGCGGATGGGCTGTCGGACGAGGT